ACCTTCCTAATGTCTGCATCCAGAGTAGCTTGGATGACAGAAGTGTGACATGATGCCACAGGCTGATTTTTAACGTATTAAGATACCCATGTGACTTCTTGTTGTTTCTTTTGTCAATGCAGAGATTGTTCTTGGAGATTAAACCAACTTTGCATTACTTGAATAAACATTGTATATTATCTTTACAACTTACTATTGGAATTGTTTTTAATATTTTGTTAGCAATTTATGCTTATATTTATGAAAGATACTAGGATACTTTTGCTTTCTCGTCAAATATTGCTTGCTTTTCTAATCAAGACACATAGAACAAAGTGTTAAGTGCTTCCCGTAGTTCCTACAAATGATTGTGAAGAACTTACACTATTTGTTTTTAAATATTTGATGGAGGACCATAGTATAGCCATCTGGATTTGGGCTTTTCTTGGTTGGGAGGTTTTTCATATTAATGAAAGTTTTCTTTTTTGCTGTTTTATATACGTTGAGTTTTCCTACTTCTGCTTTGGTCAGTGTAGTAGTTAGCAATTTTTATTTTTGTAGAAATTTTTCCAATTCATTATCTATTTGAATATTTTTGTTATAAAACAATTTACCTTATTTCTTACAATATTTTGTTTCATTTAAACTATGAACTATGTATCCTCCTTCGTTCCTGATTCTGGTAATTGGCGATTTTCTATTTGTTTGCTCAGTTTAAGCTTTGTTTGAAATTCTAATAATAAGGTAGTTCTGTGTCAAATTCAATCAAACCTTCAAGAGCTGACTGAGATGTCATCAGTTATAAAGGAAAAAGATCTAACAAAGCATTTTTAAAGGTGTGAAGAATAAATAAAAATTACCTTATATGAACCCAACATTTTCAGTTAACCTGTAATTAAATATTAACATTTTAAATGAATGATAATAAAATTTGAACTGACAATTAGTAACTTAACAGTTAATTGTATAAGCCTGGTTAGTATTTACCATGTCTATAATTGAATTTGTTTCACAAGTGTTCACATTACCTAAATTCTATACAGTTTTATTTGTTCATAATTATTTATCATAGTACTCATGCTTAACTAAGGAAAAACAAATTTTAAGATTTCTTTCCCAAATATTGGTTACTTGAATCAGAAAGGAAATAGGTCCTTATCTTTCTAACACAATATGAAACATTTCATACCTAAATGAATGAATGTTATAATACTCATAAATTATATATTACAGGAAAAGTTCAGGCTTTTGTGAGGACATAGTTTGAAAACACAGATACTATTGCTTCCCTAGCTGACACTTAAAAATACAGGATGACATTTTCATACATTTAATTATGAAAATATTTCAATATATGCAATAGTAAAGAAAATAATATAATTAAGTCCATCAATCAATTACTCATTTCCAGCAATATGAACTTATAATTGCTATTGTTTTTCCTCTATACTTCATTGAATATTTGTTTTTTAGTCTCCAAAATGACATTTTGTGACATTTAATTTTCAGGAAGTCTAGATATCCTACAGTGTACAAAATAGCTTTATACAACAAAGATTTTTCTTAGTTAAAATGCTAACTATACCCCTGGAAAACACTATTAATAATGAAACATTGTAATGCTGATATTTTGGGGGCCAATGTACTCATGGGGACTGGTGATAAATTACATTTCAGGGAATAAAATAATAACTTGAAGTTTGAAAAAATTCTTGTGGATAAAAAAAGTCCAAAAACAATTTCAAGAAGTTTCTTTGTACTATTTCATGTAAGTATATGAAGCCCTTAAAACATATTCTCTCACCTTAGTCTCCTTCATTCACCCTTCTCCCCACAAGGACCCCCCACACTGTACCTATTTTACAGTCCTCTCTTTCATTATTAATATCTAAATTGATGTTCAAAGGTGTGTCTCAACGTGTCCCCACTGTCAGTATACTTTACTTTGATCTGTTCAAACCCTTCCATTACCCCTTTTCCTCCCACCCCTCTTTTTCAACAGCATTCAATAGAGATCCTATGTCTTCTAATTTCACAGATGTTAGGTTTTATGATATTTTTGATGCTTTCTCATTCCTTTTTTTTTTGTAATTTCATTGTCTTTTATTATTGACTTGTGAGATTGAAAAATATTCTAGATAAGGTGAATAAGGCTGACGAACTTCTTATTCAAGAATGAATATACAATTTTTAAACTTGTTGAAATCACCAGAGGGGGACTAAGGTAGAAAGGAGAAAAATAGAGATGAATCAACTAGTTTATAATACATATATACATGGAAATGTCACAAGGAAACTCCCTGTAGAGTTATCTTAAACAAACAAAAATGTCATTTCTTTCTTTTACAAAATCAGAGAACAAGAGGGCAGAACAGGCCCTGTCTGGGGGTTGATACAAATGAGAAGGGTAGAGGATGTGGGCAAAGGGAGTAGGAGGGTGAACATGGTGCAAATACTGTATACTAACATCTGTTGATGGCAATTGTGGCATTTGCTGTGAGAGCATAACAACTTGACAACATGTTTCTATCCCTTTCCTTTTTTCTTCTTGTGCTGGGGGTGCATTGTGGCATTTACTAAAGTTTTTATAATGTCTCATTCCTTTTTCCTTTCCCTCCTTCCCTGAGTTCCATAGCATACCCCATTATCACAAGCTAATATGTTGTACATATTAAGTTTGTATATGATCATATTTAGTTTGGTGTATATGTTTAACTTTTAGATCTGTTGTCCACGTATGAGAGAAGACATGTGACTTTCGTCTTTCAGAACCTGACTTACTTCTCTTAACATGATACATTCCTTTGGGTAGATGCCCAGGAGTGGTATCACTGGATCATATGAGAGTTCTATTTTCAACTTTTTGAGGAGTCTCCACTCTCCTTTCTATAGTGGTTATCCTAAATTGTATTCTCACCAACAGTGTGTAAGTTTCCTGTTACACCTCATCCTAGTCAGCATTTGTTGTTTTGCTCTTGATCATGGCCATTCTGAAACCTTTGTGTAGTTTAATTTGTATTTCTTTTATAGCCAGAGAAGTTGAACACTTCTTAATGTATTTATTGGCCATTTGTACTGCTTCCTTTGAAAATTCTCCATTCAACCCATGGGTTCATGTTTTCACTAGGATGTTGATTCTTTAGGAGTAATGGTTTTTGAGTTCCCTATAGATTCTGTATATTAGTCCCTTATTGGATATATAACTGGCAAAGATTTTCTTCCATTCTGTGGGTTGTCTCTTAAGACTACTGACTGCTGCATTTGCCATACAGAAGCTTTTTAGTTTGCTGCAGTCCCATTTGTTCATTCTTTTCTTAGATACTGAACAATTGGAGATCTATTCATGAATTCATTTCTGTGCCTATATATTCCAGGGTATTTCCTACTGTCTTCTATGTTATTTCAAAGCTTCATGTCTTATATTAAGGTATTTTGTCCACTCTCAGTTGATATTGATACTGGATGAGACACAGGGACCTAGTTTCAGTCTTCTACATGTGGATATCCAGTTTTCCCAGCAACATTTGTTGAAGAAGCTGTCTTTTCGCCATCGTGTGCTCTGTGCTCCTTTGTCAAAAATGGTTGACTGTAGCTGTGAGAGTTTATATTTGGATCTTCTATTCTAATCCACTTGTTGTCATGTCTGTTTTTGTGCCAGTACCATGCTGTTTTTACTTGTATGACTCTGTAGTATCTATTGAAGTTTGGAATTGTGATACTTCCAAAATTGTACTTTTTGCTCAGAATTGCTTGTATTTGAGATCTTTTCTGATTCCATATGAAATTTAGGATTGATTTTTCTATCTCTATGAAGAATGTCAGTGGGATTTTGATAAGGATTGTGTTGACCATGTAGATTGCTTTTGGTAGTATGGCCATTTTCAAAATATTGATTCTGCCAGTCTGTGAGCATGGGAGAGCTTTCCATCTTCTGATGTCTTCTTCAATTTCTTTCTTTAGTGGTTTATAGCTTTCACTGAAATGGTCTTTTGTTCCTTCATTGAACTTACACCTAGGTATTTTATTTTCCTTGTAGTTATTGTAAGTGGGATGGTTTCCCTGAGTTCTCAGTATGTTCATTGTTGGTATAAAGTAAGGCTACTGATTTCTGTATATTAATTTTGAATTCTATTACTTTACCAAAAGCACTTATGATTTCTAAAAGATTTTTTGTGGAATTTTTAGGGTCGTCAAGTATAAGATCATGTCATCTGCAAATAAGGATACTGTCACTCTTTCATTCCCTATTTGAATCCCTTTAATTTTTTGCTAATTTTATCAATTTTTAGGGTGTTTAACTATAGCATCATTTTATCTGTAAATAAGGTTAGTTTGACTTTTTTCCTTTCCTATTTGAATCCCTTTTATTTTTTTCTTTTGTCTTATTGCTCTGGCTAGAAATTCCAAAGCTATTTTGATTATGTGGGGAAAGTATACATCACTGTCTCATTCCTCACCTTAGGGGGAATAGTTTGATTTGTTTTCCATTTAGTATATTGGCTATAGGTTTGTTCTACATAGGTTTCCCTGACCCACTTAAAGCAATTCTTTTCAGGAAGAAGATTCTAGGATGATTCATTTTAGTAGTCATTTAAATATGTAGAATATTCCAGACATTAATGAATTCATTATATTGGCATATCATAGAAAAAAAACTTTATTTATATATAAAGAGACAAATATTGGTAATAATTGGTTCTAGGACCTAATTCTGCTAAGAGAGATAAGTCGTTTTACTTGAAATTCCCTGTACTTATAATAAAATACCAGTTAAATGCTTGTTCTTATACTGTGGTGATTTCATGGCTAATCCTTGATAATGTGCCTTGCTCATTCTCTGACAGTTAAATATCAGTGACTCACAGACTCATATTCTTATACTTTTGTAGTTGGAACTCTTAGAATTTTCATTATATGAAAGAGATTTTTCACTCTGTATGAAGGCTAATTTAAAGATATGATTTATTGGATGAACAAATACTGGATGTTGCAGTCATTTACCTTTTTATGTTTTTCAACAGGTAACCCATTATTAACCAGCAAAGTCAACATACTCATTAATGTCTTAGATGTCAATGAATTTCCACCAGAAATATCTGTGCCATTTGAGACGGCTGTATGTGAAAATGCCAAACCAGGACAGGTATCTTACAAATATTGTTCCTTAACAATGCGTAAAACTCACCATACATCTGTTTTAGGTTCTAAGACCAGAAATGAGTACAAGTACATGTTTATTAGTCTTCATCGGATGTCTTCATAAAATATACTAGAAGAGAAACCAAATTCATGTGATTTTTTTGATAAATGAATGGGTATAAAGGCAATACCTTAGGGGGTAAAGTTTTGGTTTCTTATTGAAAATTCTTTGGATAATTAAAGATCTAGGATTTGGGATTCTGCTATTTTTCTACTCTGTTACTATGACATTTCTAAAGAACTTGTGACAACAAAGCCACAATAAAGAGCATTTTTTCAGATGGATGTTTTCCAGATTTGCTAACATTCATTCATAAAGGATTAACAAAACTCTTTAACCTTTGGAAATGTACAGCATCCTTCTCTGTTAGCCTTGAGGAGAACATCTGTTATTCAAAATGTCTGAAATACATTGCACTTATCAAGCCAATGTTGTTCCAGGAGATGTTCTAGTATAGAGATATTGCAAAGGAGGAGACACCGCCACTTAAAGTTTTTGTCCAAGTCCTAGGTTTATGTAGGGTGGTGCTGGGTATCCAGTTTTGTCCTTCTGGTTTTACCCTACACTATTATGAAAAAATAACTCAATAATATAAAGGGAGTCAGGCATGGGTATATGGCTAAATCTGTGTCAGGAAACAGGAATATGATAATTACTGTTAGCCTACATTCAAAGAGAAAATGTATTAGTTTACTATGGAGTGGTATATCATGTTTGATTTATATTAATCAGTTATTTCAATAAATATGATTACTTCTAATTCTTACATGAAATCATCTTAATATTGGAAAAAATCTCCTTCTTAAAAGGCATTCTTTAATCAATAGTGTATTTTTAAAAATTACATGCTTTACACTGCTCAATAGAACATTTGATTCAAAACTTTACACCAGTGGACATGTACTATGCATGCAGCATATCTTAAGTTAAAATCAAAACAAATATTCTCATTCCTTACTTTAGTTGCTCAAAAATTGTGTGTGCTGAATGGATACCATTTGGGAGTCACAGATGTAGAATATTCTAATAAGTGTCAAAACTTCTAATTGTGCTCTGTTTTTGATTCTTTGGGGAAATCATTAAGTTTATTACATCATAATGAATTTGCTGACATGTTCTAGAATAATAAATATGCATTCTAAATTTTGAATAGGCACAGCAGTGAACAAGGGATGAGTCCACTGCATGTTTCAGTGTCTGAAGAACGTAGTTAGATGCTGCACAAACATTTAGGCAAAAATAAATACCAGGATTTGGATGTTTATATGGTTATTAGATTCCCCAAAATTCCACCACTTAGCTGTTTTCCACCATCCAGGTGTTGCTCTGCAACATCTTGATAAAAGTTCCTTTATCTTTAAGTTAATAAGGGATATTAATAATTGCAGATCAATCATAATATTATCATTATCTAATGACAGATTTTGGGACTAGTGCTGTATTAAAAGCCATATATTTGTCTAATAATTTAAAGAATTTCAACTATTTGAAAAAATGAAAGTTAACCTGATCTGCTTGCAAGTAGACAGAATAGTGAAGAATCTGTTTCTTTCTGATTGAATCCATTGTAATAAAATATTGGTTGAGATTTTGTCTCCCAATACTCATGTAAAAAGCATAACACTGAAATACGCCTTGAGTTTTCAGGGGGTTGTAGAGTATGGCAATTTTCTGTATTTGGCCTTAGCCATTATGCTCCTGGACTAAAAACTGTGCATAGCAGCTGCTGATTTTTTCTGCATTATTCTTTAATATGTGTGTTTTATATATGTATACATACATATATTTCTATCTACTCATCCATTTGTCTATCATCTATGTATTTATTATCTACCTATCTATTGATATCATCTATGTATCGATATCCTATATCTATCTATCATCTATCTATCTATCTATCTAACTAGCTTGCTGATTACATGCATATCTATCTATCTACCCAAAAAGGAGATAAACACTATTTATTTGGGGGTTGCTTTCCTTAGAGCAGTAACTTCCAGCTGATACTTCCAGGTAAGTCTAAGTGTGTAACAAAATTTTAATATCTTTATTCTTTTATAAGACTTTTTTCTAATATTGTATCTTAGCTACATTTTCATGTTAAATACATTCAATTTAATAAACAATTCTAGTTCATAACATTTAGAGGCAAGAAAAGCCTCACAAAATTTTCATTACACCTTGGATCTTAAATAATATACTGAAACTTTATTGGTGAAATAGTGAGATGTTAGGATAATTGTCTAAGAGAAGGAAAGCTAAAGTTTTGTAGGGTCCATTTATCGAGGTGGACTAAATTGTCATGCTAAGAAAAGGAACTGAGTTTCATAGTAGAGAACTAATTTTTTAAATCATTTTTACCATTTTCACATTTACTTACATGTATAGACATTGTTTGTGCCACCTCCCCGCTGTCCCCCTCCCCTCTGTTTCCAGGCAGAACCTGTTCTGCCCTCTTCTTTGATATTATTGAAGAGAAAACATAAGAGATAGTAAGAAAGACATATCATTTTTGCTAGTTTTCAATAAAGATAGCCATACAGAGAGATTCCTAGTTTTGGTTCCATGCACTTGTGTACTGCAACCCATTTTGGTTCCTCTCTGCCAAAACTCTTCACTACTTCCTGGTCCGCTTCCCATAGTGGCCTCTGCCAATTTAAGATTACTTTATTAGCTCCTCAACAGGGAGCACATGAACCACATTCAAGTTTTAAGTTTCCTTTCCTTTCCATATTTCTCCCATGTATATTCTCCCATTAGTGTGTGACCCATGTCCAGTAATATTACTGCATTTGTTTTTGGTCTATAATCTGCATATGAGGGAGAACATGTGATTATTATCTTCTGAGCCTGGCTAACTTCACTTAAGATGATGTTCTCCATTTTATCCATTTACTTGGAAATCACAAAATTTCATTGTGTATAAATACCACATTTTCTTGATCCATATGTCAGTTTTGGGGCATCTTAGCTATTTCCCTAGCTTGGCTATTAAAATAGTGCTGAAGTAAACATGGGTGTGCAGGTGCTTTTGTAATAACTAGAGTCACATTCCTCTGGGTATATCCCTAGTAGTAGTATTTCTGGGTCATATGGCAAATCTATGCTTAGATTTTTAAGAAGCATCCATATTGTTTCCCAAAGTGGTTGTAATGGCGTATATTCCCAACTGCAATGTATGAGGGTTCCTTTTTCCCTGCATCCTAGTCAGCATTTGTTGTTGGTGTTCTTGATGATAGCCATTCTAACAAGTGTGAGGTGCAATCTTAGTGTGGTTTTGATTTGCATTTCCTTTATGGCCAGGGATGGTGAGGATTTTTTCATGTGTTTTTTGGCCATTTGATTTTCTTCCTTAGAAAAAAGTTTTGTTTAGTCAGTTCCCTGCTTCTTTATTGGTTCATTGATTTGGGGGGAATTTAGTTTTTTGAGCTGTGTATTCTGGTTATCAGTCCTTTGTCTGATGTATAGCTAGCAAATATTTCCTCCCATTCTCTTCATTCGGTGGTCTCTTCAATTTAGAGACCATTTCTTTTGTTGTGCAGAAGATTTTTAATTTCATATAGTACCATTTGTCCACCCTTTCTCTTAGTTGCTGGGCTGATGGAGGTCTACTGAAGAAGTCCTTCCCTATACATATCATTTCCAGGGTATTCCCTGTTTTTTCATGTACTAACTGCAAGGTTTTGTGTCTGATATTAAGGTCCTTAATCCACTTTCAGTTGATACTAATATAGGGTGATAGGCAAGGATCTAGTTTGTTTTCTGCAAGCAAATATATGTTAAAGAGGCTGTGTTTTCTACATCTTATGTTTTGCACCTTGTCAAATAAGGTGGGTATAACTGTGTATTCATATCTGGATCCTTTATTCTGTTCCACTAGTTTTCATACCTGTTTTTGTGCCAGTACCATACTGTTTTTATTGCTATGGCTCCATAGTATATTTTGAAATATGGTATTGTGATACTTTCAGAATTACTCTTTTTGCTCAGTATTGCCTTGGGTATTCTTAATCTTTTGTGTTTCCAAATGAACTTTAAGGTAGATTTTTCAATCTCCTTGATGAATGTCATTGGAATTTTGATGGGTATTGCGTTGAACATATAGATTGCTTTTGGTAGTATAGCCATTTTTACTATGTTGATTCTGCCAATCCATAAGCATGGGAGATCTTTCCATCTTCTGTAGTTTTCCTCGTTTTCTTTCTTCAGTGGTTTATAGTTCACTTTGTAGAGGTCATTTCCATCCTTCATTAAGTTTACTCCTAGGTATTTGATTTTTTTTGAGACTCTTGTAAATTGAATTGTTTTCCTATATTCTTTCTGAATTTGTTCCTTGTTAAGTGTATAAATAGGCTACTGATTTTTGAAGGTTGATTGTGTGTCCTGCTGCATTGCTGAAGTTGTTTATGGTGTCTAGAAGACTATGGGTGGTTTTTTGGGTCTTTGAGGTATAGGATCATGTCATCTGCAAATAGGTATACTTTGATTATTTCTTTATATGTTTGTATTCCTTTTATTTCTTCTTCTTCTCTGATTTCTCTGGATAGTAATTCCAGGACTATGTTTAGTAGGAGTGGGGTGAATAGGAACCCTTGTCTCATTCCTGAGTTTAAGGGAATTGTTTCAGTTTTTCCCTATTCAGTATGATGTTGGCTATAGGTTTATAATATATAGTTGAGGTATATTCCTTCTATTCCTTGTTTTCTTAGAACTTTTATCATGATGTGGTGTTGAATATTATCAAAGGCTTTTTCTGCATCTATTTTGATGATCATGTGGTTTTTGTCTTTGCCTCTATTAATGTTCTGTGTTACATTTATTGATTTGTGTATGTTGAACCATCCCTGAATCCCTGGGAAGAAGCTAACTTGGTCAAGGTGAATGATCTTTATGATATATTGTTGGATTTGGTTTGATATCATTTTCTTGAGTATTTTTGCATCATTGTTTATTAAGTAGATTGGGCTGTAGTTCTCCTTTTAGGATGTGTCATTGTCCAATTTTAGGGGAGTGTAATTATTTTTAATCTATTAATTTATTATTAATATGGAAGACACTTAACACTTCTATGATATCTGCATCTATCTATATATCTTCTGTAATGTATAGATTTCTATCTGTGTGTAGCCACGTGAGAGGGTAGGTGATTGTTATAAGATTGGATTTTAACCAAAGATCAAAAGAGAAGTAATAGATGAATCATAACTTTCATGGCATCAATATAAGATCATGCTAGGCATATTTTACATACTAGGAACAAGATATTGTATTAGAAATCAGAGGTCTCCTTCTGCTAAATTCAAATGTAATTCTAGAGTGTGATCCTCTGGCCAGCACATATCCGTTTCCCTTTGTCCCACACACTTCCTGAAATTCTGTGTGACATTCAGCTATCAGATATATTAATAAAAATGTTTTAAAACCATTTTGATTTGCTTTTGTATGTGGTTAATTATAAATTTTATACTTTAGTTCTCAAAGTTCTTTTAGTTTCCAAAATTTTAAGGACATGTCAGTGAAATATCCATATCTTAAGCATAAGACAAACAACCTATGGGAGCAAGTTAGGAAAATCTTTCAAATAGGAATAGTACTTTTAAAAAAAGTATAAAAAAACAATTTTTGTTCTAACCAATTGGGAAAATTATCACACAAACAAAAACATATAATTCTTGGCATTTCTCTTTCACATCATTTTATTTATTTATGAAAACAAAGTAATTTTCACAAACATAATTGTTCTAAAATTTTGCTTTTGCAAAGGCTTCTACATCATCTGTTTTGTTCACAATAAGCATTTCCACATTAGGCTAGAAGGCATTTATTTTATCCAATTTAAAATGCATGCAAGTACATTTTAATTTTATTGTGCTTCTTAGGGAGAATTTTCAATGCTGGTAAGCTTTTTAGTTCCACATATATTGATTTAGAATTAGTTCATGTCCTGTAATTGTACCTGACATTATTGTCTATGAATGCTTAAAGAACTGTTTCTAAAAATTATGTATAAGTAATTGATCCACTGATATTAATTTTTAAAGGGCCATTTCTGTCTACTTACATGCTTCATTAAATAAACTTATTAGCTTAGTGTGATGACTGACTTGAAGTTTATTCTAAACACCTTTTTAGATAATTCAGATAGTCAGTGCTGTGGACCGTGACCTTCCACCTGCTGGCCAGCAGTTCTCCTTTAGGCTATCTCCTGAGGCTTCTATCAAACCAAATTTTACAGTTTGTGACTTTAGAAGTAAGTATAACCATTTTGTATTTATCTCATATCAGTTCTGTTTTTCAAAGGGCACAAAGGAACAATCAATTCTTTTCCTAAAAGAATATAATTTCCCAAAGTATGGCAATTCATAAATGAGAAATTCAATATTCTTTAAAGAAGAGTAAATTAGTTATTTAATCTGCATAGACTATCTAGTAAGACAGCTTACTTCCATTATAAAAGTGGGCAATTTCTATACAAGAATGAACATAGAATTTTTAAATTTATTGAACTCACCATAGAAAGATGATTAAGTTAAAAAGAAGAAATTTGGAGGGATGAACCAATTTGGGAAACAAGACATATATACATGGGGATGTCATAATGAAACTCTGTATAGATATCTTAGAAAACAAGAATTTCTATTTTTTTCCTCAAAATCAGAGAGCAGGAACATAAAGCAAGTCATATCTGAGGGCTGGTACCAGTGGAAGGGTGAATGATATAAGGGTATAGGAAGGTGAAGATGGTAAAAATATTATGTACTTATGTACAAAAATAGAACAATGAGAACTATTGAAACTATTCTAAGAATGGGGTGAGCAAGGATAAAGAATGAATATGTGATGAATATAACTAAGATATATTGTAAGAACTTTGCACCCAGAACAATAATCTTATGACAAAATAGTTTTTAAAAAAACTTTTAGAAAAGTAGGCAGTGTGTTCATGATTTAATCAAATTTTTAAAAATTCCATGGGAAATTGAATGTTTCCTAGCTATAAATATGCCATTTGTCCCACATACATATTCCTTGTACATGCAAATAGAAATTCTATATTAACTATTTTATTTGAATAACACAGAGATCATCACAAGTTAGGATTGTGAGCATTATAAGTAGAAGGATACATGTATACATTTTCATCCATGATACCTAAATGGCTGGTAGTTACAGAGAAAAATTATAGTAAACAATGCCAACCTCATAGTATATGTATTAAAAATCATATATCCCAACCATTTACAACAATGACTAGAAAAGATTTCTGTCAGGATAATTTTCACTACCTGCCCTGCCATCACGTTTACCCTTCCACTTCCACCACTACCACCACTACTGCTAAACTATTAAATATCTGCACCATTATAGCTACTTACAAAGAATGCTGGTTTAGAAATGCAGATGGTTCTTAATGTGTGACAGAGTTATGTCTTTTAGAGTTATTTTAAAAAATTAAGCTTCAAATTCATTTAAATCACCTTACTTACCAAACACAACAACTTAGTCAAGCCTAACCCAAGTGTGCTTAGGATACTTTCATTAGCCTACATTTGAGAAAAATCATAAAGCAAAAGTCTTGCATAATAAATTGTTGAATATGTTATGTAGTTATTAAATATTATACCAAAGGCAAAAACAGACTGGTTGTATGGGTATAATTCACACAAAAAAATCCAAAGTTGAATTATAGCTAAGTCAAGAACCGTCCTTATTAAAGTTTAAGTGTGGTGTGCTCATTTGCTATTACTTTATTATTTCTATCACTTTAGGTATTTTATATCCACCAGTCTCTACATTAGATAAGATAAGGATTAAGATTTTAAACTATTGGGTAGTGAAAACTAAAGCTTTAATAAATTCTGCATTTGTAGAAAAATGAAAAATTCTGATGATAGGTCATGATAGTAATTGACAGAAATCAAAAGATGTTAGAGTAAACTTAATTCAAATACATAATTAGAAGAACATCCAAGTTCCCACATATTGTTCTGAAGGAAGCTAAGTGGTTTTGCTTAGTTCAATACTGCAATATGAAAAATGGCTGTAAATGAAACAGCTTCTCAGACTGTTAAGTGGATGGAGCTGAAGAACATCATGTTAGGTGAAGTAAGCCAGGCTCAAAAAATCAAAGCTTGCATGTTTTCCCATATATGTGGAAGCTAGACCTATCACTTAAATATACACATAAGTATATATGATCTTTTACACATATAATGAGAGAAGAAACAAGATATACTAGTGGATCTGTCTGAGGGTCTATGGGAGGTGGGAGAGGAAAAGAGAATGTTAGAAAATGAAAAATATTGAAACATCTCACCTATATATTCATAAAACATAATGTAAGTGTAAGCTATTGAATAATAGGGAAGCAGGGTGATAGAATAAGTAAGGGGGAGAGTTAATCTGATTAAAACACTACACATACATGTCTGGGATGCCAAGTCGACTCCCCCTTTGACTATTAAGATGTACTTTCGAAACATGAAGGATAAGAGGGTAAAACTAGTCTTTTCCATGGATGGGTACATGGTACAGGAGGGCATAAGGAAAGTATGAATGATGGTATATATGGTGAATATATTATATATTCGTACATGAAAATAGAACAATGAAGCCTATTGAAAATGTTCTAAAATGGAGGGAGGGTCAAATGAGGGAAAATAATAGAGCAGGTGACTCTAAGAATACTATAAGCACATATGTAAATATCATAATACACCCTCCTGTACAACTATTATATGCTAATAATAAAAACAAAGAGTTTTACTGCCTTCTCATATAAGTCAAATTAAAAAATATCAAACTCTGCTTTCTTTCAAAGAAAGACTCAGGCAAGATTTTCAATTGCTATTAAACATTTTCACTCAAGTTATATCTTCTAATCTTTTTTTCTTTTTCTCAGCCTTATGTAGTCAACCATTATATGCTAAAGATTTCAGTGCTGCCTCAGCCAGTCCGCATTTTTCCATCCTTATTGTCATTACAAATGTTTTCTGTCAGTAAATCTAATTGGGCATATTGTAGAAGACATTTTCCATATTAATAATTTTTCTTGCTTTTCAAATGTCCTCTCTGGAATAATTACAAAATAATCTTACCAGAACAAACCCTAATCATGTCACATAATATTTTTTCATTAAGGTACTACCTATGGCAATGAAGGTAGGGAAGCTACCACATTATATTTGTAGAATTTAGAGTATTCAAATTGAAATGTTTAATGGATTGAAATAGTACCATGTTTCCAACAGAACTATATTGTAATGAGTAATATAATTTCTTATTTTTACCAAATTCTTAAGTCATTTATGGTTATAATAAAGTACATTTCTAAAAATTAAAATTATTTCTAGAAACTGAGTTAGTTGGCACAAAAGTGAAATTGTGTTATGAATGTAATATTTTTCTTCTCTGTGTAGAAAAAAAACAGTCAACATGTAAAATAATACTTTCAAAAGAAACACTAAGTGACTTTATTTTAATGTAGAATTTTATTGCTTGGCATTAGAAGTAAATACCATTATTATTAAGTTAGAGTTGCAATGAATTCCTCTGTAATTACATAAAAATGGTGATTGTTGTAACTCATGGTGTTTAGAATTTTTAATATTTTTACCTCGCTTTATATATATATATATATACATATATATATATATATATATATATATATATATATATATATGTATATATATATTCCTTGTCATTTTTGTTACTCTACCTGATGTGGAAAAGTGAAAGCATTTATAGACTTATGCATATGCGATTGCAATCACTCTGGAATTCATGAGGGATTGACTTGGGAACACTTGACCCCATGGATGCAAATATTTGTAGATGCCAGAGTGCTTTAAATAAAATGGTGCAGTGTTTGGACATAAGCTGTACACATCTTCCTGTATACTTTAAATCACCTCTGAATTACTTTTAGTACATAAAGCAATGTAAGTTTTATCTACATAATTGTTATGATATACTATTTGGGGATTAATGTCAAGAAAACTGCATACATTCAGTGTAGAATCATTGTTTCAAATATTTTCAACCCATGGTTGTATACAGAAGAAGTCCACTGTATAAAAATATTTAGTGACACACATATAGATAGATATTAATATACACACAAATATATGTTATATATACATGCAAAACCTATAGATAGGAATAAAACTGGTTTCCATCTGAAATAGCTGATTGATTTTAAATATATTTTAAAGAATTAATTCTTTTATAAGTTATTATACAGATTTAAGTTTTGCAGTCTTTCTTTTCTAGTATTTATGAAAACATTTGCAAACTTTTTTTTCTCAGTGAGATTTTGATTTCAGAAAAAATGGGGCAACAGAACAACTTTTCATGAATCATTATATATTCTTCCTGAATAGAAAATTTAATTCTTATGCCAGAAAAGACTAATGTATCTTCTTTCTTTATGTATTATTTTAATTAAATTTGATTATATTTTACAGCTTTCATAATGATAAAAAATAATTAAAATTAGGAAGCATTTTGCTGATTCAAGAGGTTCCTACTGCTTAGGAACACCAGCTTTAAGACTTGAAGTGAACCTCATTGTAACCATGTTATCATAAATATCATGTTTTGTAGACAACACAGCTGGAATTGAAACCCGAAGAAATGGATACAGCCGCAGGCAGCAGGAGCTGTACTTCCTCCCTATTGTAATAGAAGACAGCAGTTACCCTGTCCAGAGTAGCACAAACACAATGACTATTCGAGTTTGTCGATGTGACTCTGATGGTACCATCCTGTCTTGTAATGTGGAAGCAATTTTTCTACCTGTAGGACTTAGTACTGGAGCTTTGATCGCAATCCTACTATGCATTATTATACTCTTAGGTTGGTTTCATTATTAATTTCTATGTCTGTTTGTGTGTCTGTCTGTCTGTCTCTTTCTCTCTTCCCTCTGCATATCTCCTTCCTCAATTTATCAAATAAGTTTTTGTTTACTGAGCAGTCACTTCTGATTGGAAGAGAATATAGTTAGATCAAATTAAATTTTTTTAAGTTTGTCTTTCTATTTCACAATTTATATAAATAACAATATAAATTATGTTCCATTTCTAACGTGTTTTCAAGTATTAAAAGTTTGTGACCACTGCCACAATAAAATTCTCTATAACAAAAATCCAGTTATAACATTGGTTTCTCAATTCATTTTATGTCTTAGTACTTACAACCTAATAAGAGATCATATAATCTATTAAAAATATCCTAGATGAACAACAGTCCTCAAGTTCCAGTTCAGTAATGAAAGGAAGAAAAGACAAAGAATAGGAAAGAAATAGAAAGTAACTGATGCCCAAATTTGTTTTACTTTGTTTACAGTTCCTTCCAGAAGCAATTCTTTTACTTTCCCCAGTGTTTTCACATCAAAATCCTAACTATTCCCACTTTATGAGAAGAGAGCACATTAAAATATCTAAGAGCACTGCAAACAAAAAGGATTAAAGTAAGTGATTTCAGTAATACCTCTGGGAGAGTAGACGCAGTCATACTTCAGGAGTTTCCCTCTCCCATCAACTTTATTCTGCCTTTCCCTTTGACTCACCAACTCACAGCCAGATTCATACAAGTACAGAGAGTTTTTGTATTTTCCCATTCTTTCCTTTAAAATCAGACTACAACATATATGCACTGAGGCACTGTAGAATCACTTTATATATGCATATTTACTTCTCAACTGAAAATATTGTGACAAATATTCCACCTGCATCTGCCTCTAGGATAGTAAAAAAAAAAAGCAATACAGCCAATGCGCGGAGTAAGTCAGTAGGTAATAATTTATAGGTAGCATTTCCTGAATCAGACACTCAGGCTGACTTGGAGAATAAAGTTTTAGTCCAGTTTGAAAGAATTAGATATTAATTCCACATGAGTAACTTTGGTGTGCAGACCAAAATATTCTTTATGTCCTTAAAGCTTATATTGAATTATCCTGAGCATGTGTTTGTGCTAATGATGTAATCTTTTAAATGGCACATTCAAAACCATTCTCACATCTGACATTGAACATCATCAATTAGGTGTTTAACTTTAAATAAAGTGTTCCTCTCCTATACTCCTGTGGTCTCTAATAGATACCTAAATCCTAGGATACTTCTAGGTCAATTTAGCAAACAAGGTGTGTTCTCTTTGTCTTATGTGGCCCCAATCCAGTGTAGCAATTGATTTGTGTGCTCACCATTATTGGGCACTGACATTAGCAGTTCACACATCATCCAAATACTTCCTCAGTGTCTGCAACGCACCTGCAGTATTTTAGCTATTGTGTGTTCACTGCTGCATTGTAGTTAGTGAATATAGACACTGATTCTCTTGCTATGGTGTCTGTTTAAAATTCATCCATTCTTTGACCTCTGTAATCAATCACTGATTCCTTTAGGTTTGTCTATTTTCCTAACCTTCCTGGGGGAAGGGAAAACACAGGAATTTTGTTGTGCTCCAATTTCTTTTTTAGGTAGACTGTATTCACATCTAAACTATTCTGTTTTACCACCATTGCAATGTTAAAGCAGTTTTATATTCAGGGCTTCTTCATGAAGCTTGAAGTTTCCCTCACAGTCTCTAAGTAATCAAACAACAACCTCTTCAGTTCTTGGATTCCCTAAACTCATAAAAAAGTTTAGAATTGTATACATCTCTCTAAGGTCCGTTGTCTAGATGCTCTGCTATGAGTCCCCCTTGCTTCCCAACTTTAATTCTGTAGGAAGAGGGATTAAATGAAGTTTTATCATTACATATTCTTCTCTACTATCTAGTTCTACAACAGGAGTAATCCAGACTCCTGCCTAATTCAAACACACTTACCTTTTATCCTGTTACCACTATTGTGGGAGAAGTCATGATGGAGGCAAGCTGAGCATTGGTTTCACTCTTATCTGTGTCCACTCACCACTAAAGAAATAGACACCGTCAATTTAATGGCAAACATTGAGTCAATCAGGAACAAAGAGAGATTGTATTAGTGGAAGTTTATAAAATAAATATTTCAAAATAGTTTTTATTGTTGTGCTGGTGGGGGTACATTGTAGCATTTACAAATGTTGTTACAATGTATCATATATCATACTTGAATTTATCCCCTCTATTGGTCTTTTTCATTCCCATCCTCTGATTCCTGACACGGTTTCAAAGGGTAGTATCTTGCTTCAGGAAGTTAATCTGAATATCAGTCTTAACTGAACTGATGTATAACACTAAGGCTCTTAAATTGAAATTGTATTTGTATCTTTCCTTCTTTCCTTTTTATCTTCCTTCCTATTTTACAGACTTATTTACACTGATTTATTACTTACAAATTGTTTCAAGGAAGATTTTGGTTATTTCACTTAAAATACAAACTTCCAATTGAGAATATTACTATTGGAAAATTAGCTATGAATGATATTTACATGTTACAGAGTACAATATTTAAGTTTTATTATGTCAATTCTTATAGACTTAGGTTAGAACAATCATTCTTTTCTGCTTTTTTTGTTTTGTTTTTTATAACACATTATTTACCTGCATGTAAAATATATAAATATAAGGATAATACTGTGCAACATCTAACTATACTGTGGGTTCTTGTTAGTTTCAAAAATGAAGTTGAATTGAGATAATGAAAGTACATATGGCTATACACAAGTCTATTGATTATGAATGTTCACTTTGAAAAATGTAGAAGGTCATTAAGGAAAGTAAGCCAGGCCTGATCAATTTCAGTTTTTATAGAGAGAGAGATCTCCGCTTTCTTTCTCAAATTGCAATTTTGTCTCCTTTTAGCCATAGTTGTGCTCTATGTAGCACTGCGAAGGCAGAAGAAGAAAGACACCCTAATGACTTCTAAAGAAGACATCAGAGACAATGTCATCCATTATGATGATGAAGGAGGTGGAGAGGAGGACACCCAGGCTTTTGACATTGGCGCTCTAAGAAATCCAAAAGTGATTGAAGAGAACAAAATTCGCAGGGATATTAAACCAGACTCTCTCTGTTTACCTCGTCAGAGACCTCCAGTGGAAGACAACACAGACATAAGGGATTTCATTAATCAAAGGCTACAGGAAAATGATGTGGACCCCACAGCCCCACCATATGATTCCTTGGCCACATATGCCTATGAAGGAAATGGGTCCGTGGCTGAGTCCCTTAGCTCCATAGACTCTGTCACCACAGAAGCTGACCAGGACTATGACTATCTGACAGAATGGGACCCCGCTTCAAAGTCTTGGCAGACATGTTTGGTGAAGAAGAAGAGAGTTATAATCCTGATAAAGTCACTTAGGGACAAATGAAGACTGACACAACTGAGAGGAGAAGTTTTTAACAAAAGTAACACAAATAGAGATCAACACACACACACACACACACACACACAGGCTTTATGGGGGCAAGATTCCTTTTAATATCTAGTTTCTAGCAAGTTGCTTTATTTATCATTTGTCAGTTTTTGTTTATTCTGACAACACAAGATAAATCCTATAATATGTACTTGCTTTGTTTTGTTTTGTTATTTCTGAAATACACTGAGACAAGCTCAGGCCTATTAAGTATATTTTACTGAAATGACAACCTAGAATGAAGATAGCTATGTGGCATCACGGTGGAAGAGTGTTATATTTTTCTTAATTCCACTAAAGTGCCTATTGAAACTTATCATGTGAAATGGTGTACATGACACTCTGCTGTGATGGCAATGAAGGGTTCAGAAGTCAAGAGGAATAACACACAGACACTGTCTTTATGTCAAGGAGCAATAGTAACATGCTGACTCTTCTCCTCCCTTTGAGAATAAAGCAGAAGAATACTTTCTTAACTCCATCTTCTTATAATTCAAAAGTTTTTCTTTTTTAAACTGTAAGCCAGGCATATTTGTTTTCCTACCTTTTCAGAAAACTGAAATAAATGTGGTAATATCAAATCCAAAATGTAAGTCATGAATTCTATGATGTTGCCATTCATTATTACTGTAAATGTTAATTAAAATGTCACACTTTTCCAAAAAATAAAAATTAAAATAAGGAAAGAGAAAAAAAATCCCTCTATAAAGAGAGGCCTCAGGGCTCAAATTCCACATTAAAATAAATACTGGTTTTGCTTAATTCTGTGCTGGTGTGTGGAAATTGGTTTGGAAAAATTTTTAACTCATCTAAATTTTCAGTCACAGATACACTTTAAGCTTGTGTTTCTATGAAAAGTATTGAAAGAAAAAAGTGCTATTAATTTGAATGTGGGAAAAATAATTACAGAGCTTGTTAGTTTTTCTTACCATATAGCGATTCTTTGAAGAGCAATGGAAACAAAATGCATATCAAACAATATATGCTAGATTTATAATATATGTAACACATATTTATGATCTATTACTGAAAAAATAAAATCAGGGACTTCAGGAAATGAAAACCAATGAGTAAATCCTAAGTGAACACAAATGCAAAGGTAGGCAGCTGAGTCACTGACTATTGTAACATGAATTTCAACTTTGCAATCACCGTCTTATGCTGGAGCTCACAGGTACTTCTTTTCTCTCTCTCAGTGACAATGATCCTCATGTATACGAGACTTTACAAATCCCCTGTACAAAGCTTTTCAATTTCATGCAAATGTCTTAGAAATTTTAGATTTTATACACATATTAGTATCTTATGTTACTTTCAAGTGCATTGCACACTACCTAGAAATGCACATGATACAACATATGCAAGCTAGTAATAAAGTAATATATTTTGTCAGTATTATAAGCGTACCAGCGACTACTGAAATATAAACACTGTAAATGTGGAAAAATAAAGTTGCTTACAGGTCCACCCAGAAGATGGTTAATTTTTACCTGTATTTATAAAATATCTGGATATAGTTACTTATAACATTGAGCAGGTAAAAATCCATACAGAAAATCAGGTATAAAAGTGAATAATATGAATAAATCATTTTCAGCCATGCTCACTCATAGTGCTTCTTTAAAATTCCTGTTATTGATGCTGCAGCAATGAGCCAGTTTGAATCTGTATTCCCAGCTCTTTTGTGGTGTCTACCAATCGCACAGTCTCCATTTCTACCAGGAGGCTACTGAACTTGTTTGCATCCATTTACCATACCAATTTTACGATTTTCTCATCCATAGGAACTGCATTAACAATATTCATGTAGTATAATATCATTCAACATAATATAATTTGGGGTATATATATATGCACATGTATACATATATGCATATTTATAAATTGTTTTTAAAAGCATATGGTATCATGAGTGTACCAGAGAGAATAACTAAACCAGCTTCTCATTTGCTCAAGAAAACCATGAATCACTATGGCCTGACTTCCCCGACAGAGTTAACATACAGTATTAGTTCTTACTGACAAATAATTCTTGTCATAAATTATTGCATTCTGCATTTTTTTCCAGGAAATATGATTACACTACATGCTGTCACTCAACAGAAGCCATAATGTGAAGAAAACTATGGAGGGACATGTTAATTAAAACCACATGTCTAAGATGCTTAACAAAAATATGAAATTTGTAGGTCTTTTTTCCATCAAACTAATAATTATCTTTTTAGTATCTCTTTTTTTGTTTTTCAGAACAACTGTTTTAGCTTGCTAGGGCAACCATAACAAAACATAACAGAATAACTAGCTTTAACAACAGAAATTTACTTCCTCACAATTCTGAATGGCTGGTTTCTTCTGAGGATGTTTCTCCTTGTCTGTACATAACCATTCTCGTTCTGTTTCTTCACATGGCCTTCACTGTGTGCTTGTTTGTCATCTTATTCTCTTCCTATAAGGGTATCACTCACGTTACATGAGAGCCTGCGCATATGACTTATTTTTACCTCAGTTTCCTCTTTATTATAAGCTGTATCACCAAATACAGTCACATTCTGATGTACTAATAGATAGGATTTCAGTATATGAATTTGATCAGTAACAACCATAGAGATAATAACATATATTATTCTGTTAAAAAATATCTAATTTACAATTGAGAAAACAAATCTAATAAAATAAAAATAAAACTTAGAAATAACTTTAGGCAAAATGGGGAACCACAAAATTGATATGGGGAAGAGTATTTTAGTGTTCACAGACCAGAGGAATTATGGGATATCTTGTATATTTTGACAAGCATTAGGTCTGTTATTTCAATAGTTGTAATATCTTGCAATTCTCTTTTATTTACAATAAGTTACTGCCCTTCATTATAACATTAATAAATACAGAATATTCTGAAATTATATGAGTAATTTTTTCAGTTGACGATAATTAAACCACAATTTTGTTATTCCCTTGCATGTTTATCCTGACATAAATTTTAGTCAGGAGTGCTGTCATCCTCTGGAATCCCAGCACTGGGGAGACTGAGGCAGCAGATTCACAAATTTGAGGCCATACCAGGCTACATATCTTTATAGACATGTACTTGCTCATATTATATATAACATACATGTTTGCTTACATATTCTAAAAAATATTCCCTTTTATGTTAGTCAAAGAAGTATTAGATTGGCACACATGAGTAAGCCTTTCAAGTCCTTCATTATATATATTATATGCAACATTATTTCTTGCTGGATGATATTCTGATTTTTCTTACCCTAGTGTTAATAATGTGTTTGTAATTCTGACTTTCTGTCTTTCTGACTAGAAATGTCCTTTGGGATAACCCTCCTGGCCTCCCACCGCTCTATTCACTTTGGTGAAGATAATTAGTTTTACTTAGTGTTGTGTACGTTTCCTCTGAAATTTCTTAACTCTTAAATTCTAATTATAATTATATGTAATTCATGTAAGTCATTTACTTTCTAATTGCATATAATTTTCAGAATCAAACAGACCTTTAAACCAAAATATTTGAACTATGGATTTTATTGATCACATGATCACTCGCCAATTCTAACCACAGCAAGGCCAGACAACCTTTTTATATATACACATGTAAAAATGTTTCTCAACAAAATCAAATGGTACAGCTGTACATAGGAAGAGAGAGAAAAAAAAATTAACATAACTACCACCCAGGTCTTGAGCCAAGGAGGAAAATTAAATGATAGGAAGAAAGCATTAGAATTGAACTGTGCTTCCTTTAGAAATCTTTGCAAAAAAAAGTGTTGTAAATAGTCCTTAGAAACAACTTCAATTTGCTTCTGAAGAAAATAAGAGTGCCAATATGTAAGTGTATGTGAATTTTGGGGGTGTGGTGTTATAAAGCACTCCATTCTTGAACATTTCTTTCTTTTCTGCCATTTCCACCAATTTAAAGTTTGTCTAAGTACCAAATTCTCATTTGGTATTGGAATTAGCTTTTTTAAGATGATATTTTTCTGTCACATAGCATTAACCCAGATGATAAAACAAAAGAATGATTGTTTCACTCTTTCATCTATTTGTGGCAAGCTTTTCGCCTGATGATGTTCTGAATTTTCTTACCTTTTCTTACCCTCAGTGTTATAATATTAATGAGCAACAGTGCATCTTTTGTCACTCTCAGAAATAGATATTCAAGAGCCCCTTTCAATATAGATCCTAAGAACTTCAGTTTGGGAAATTCTCCTATATTCATTCTTTGGTGATTTTTCTGTCTTCACTTTGTTGAATTTTTAGTATTTATTATGAGTATTTCTGGATTTAAGAACTAATAGTATTTTGTTTTAACTATCCCTTTGCACCTTAGGTTTTTATCCTGTTTCCATGATGTCCCTTTCATCTTTGTCTTCCAAATCTATCGATTTTCTTTGTAGTGACTTAAAACAATTCATCAGTATTTTGTTGTTGTTCTGTTCTGTCTTTTCTCAGTTACTCTGCTCTTATTTTTGGATGAATAGTTTCTTGACCCTCTCTTATGATGCTAATTGTAACTGCTTAAAAAAAAAAACACTAGTCTGTTATTTTTTTCTCTCTCTCTCCATTGTGTGCTTCAAACACAGCACAAGGAAAGGGAACTATAAACTATATCGCTGTTCGAGTTAACTTATTTATTCCAAACTCATGTTTCATTCCAACTTTCTGCCAGTCTCGTTTTGCCTGAATCCTGACACACTACTGTATGGTGATGAGAGACAAGTTCTCTACAAAGTTGCAAAACTGCTTTTCTAGTGCTCAAATCTATTGTCCAGCCTCATCCACCACTGTGCAGCTAACCTTCAAATTGTATCCCATAAATGCTTGTCTGTCAATAGACTATGCAGCACTTTGTTTATCACAAAGGTATAAACACAAAACATGGATGGATATGTGTTACAACATGGAGACAACGTACAGAAATGGTATATAAATGAGC